GTCAAATAAATATCATTTAATATTAGATTTATCAATAAATATCTGAAATCTCTCTCCCTGATGATCAATGTGGTGGATCACACCAAAGATCAACACACGCATGTAACAGGTGTGAGGAATTAACACGGATTGCTGTAAACGGTTAAATGCCGTTCAGACACCGGAGCATGATGATGAGCGATGGATCCATCAGCTCTGCTGGAAGATGATACATAATGGGAGACTTAGCAGAGAACACATTTTCAGTGATCACAAAAGTTCCCTTTTGGTCCATCAGACTTACTGACATATCAGCCGACTGTAGCCCTTTTCTACTGGCTGAAAAGCCAATTTAAACCTGAAAACCATCTGCTTTTAGTGGCAGTAGGAACAGCTCACTGACATGTGTCTACCCGGGTCAAACAACTCGATAAGCGACCTAATCACCTCAGCTCTGATTGGTATGCTGTGGGAACACCATAGCTGTGTTGACCTGCTAAATTACGTGACACCATTGAACGCAACGTACGGACGTCAACACACCGCGGCAGTCGACTATGATCTAACAAGCAGAAACAACTCTGTTTGCATTCGATAAACATGGAGCAGCTCTGGTGAGAGAGATTCTGACAGATAATAGAGCGAAACAATAAATCACACTGACTATGCCCTGACTTCCTTACACGTTGCTCTCCATTGTTTACTTTCCTGATTTCTGTCGCCTTGGTGACATCATCAACGCTAACCCAGCGTGATGGTGTCACCAGACATGCAGCTATGGGGGGACAGAGGCCACGCAGCTGCCAGCTAGGGGTTAGGCCAGGTTTTTTTTTTTTTTTGCCAGTGAGAAGGGAGCCAAATGACCAGCCGATCCTGGTCAGGGATCCAGAACAGACAGGAACAGGATCCAGATCAGACAGGAAAAGAACAGGTGCCAGGGACCAGAAGCATGACCAGGCAGTCACATACAGGAGCAGACAGGATCAGGTGCAGATGAGCAGGCTCGGTGGAAGAGGGTAGCCGAGACAGGACGTGGATCCAGAACTTGATTCAGGACTTTAAACTGGTCTCCTCCCTGGAGCCAGGCTTACTTGGATAAAAACTGAACCTCCCCACATATACAGCCAAAAACCCATAGGACTCCGCGGGGGAGGAACAGTGGACGATCCGGAGAGGAGACAAACACTAAAACCCTCTTTCCACTAGCTGCTAGGATCCAGAACATGAACCAAGGCAAAAACTGAACAGACAGACTAACAGAAAGACAAGAAATGATCTGGCACTGAATGCTCAGGCTGAACTGAATATAACCAAGAGGAAACAGGTGAGAGGAATAAATTATGATTGAGGCAGGGAGGGAAAACGACAGGTGAAAGGAATGACTAATTAAGGGAGAGCAAACAGGCCAGATCATGACACCAG